TCATATTTCATTAGAGGAATGAGAAAAATTATCCCTATCAGGTTTTTACTGCATTCCCCTTTTATACATTTCAATCTTTAATCTATATATTATTTTTTTTGGAGCATCCAGGAGAAATCAGAATGGGTTTGCTGGCTCCCAAACAGTGAAATCATTTTGTGGCCAGACAAGAAGTCTGACTAATAGAGAAAATTTTCATTAACATTAGTCAGTTCTTTCTGATCTAATGATGATACAACAAAACTGTTTGCTGTTTGTCACAGTATTTGTGTGAAATCCAGAAAGTAAAATTGATAAAGCCAATCCAAGATCCAATTGTTTAATTAACTCTACTGCTCAATTAAGAGCAAGTCTAGTGTTGTAATAGACTACATAATCATACCCCAAAAGCTGTATTTTAGTTATTTTGTAACAGAAGGCACTCCAATTCAAATATTAATACTATTTAACTATAAATAGTCATGTAACAATTGTGACTAAGGTGGATCACCATATAAAACATTTCTCTAAAAGTTATTGAAAAGCAAGCATTTTCTTCTTAATTCATTAAGACTATGAAGCCAGCTGGGTGACTTTGGGCCAGTCACCCTCTCTTAGCCCAACCTACCTCAAACTTTTGTTTCTATAGGGAAACAAGATGCAGCAGTATTTAGTATGTTCACTATGTTGGGCTATATATAAAAAGGTGGGATAAAAATCTAATAATAATATAGAAATGAATTGGAACAAATTTCTACTTAGCTGATGTTTTTAGACTAATGAGATTTTAGACAAGTAACAGAAAACTTGGACAACAATATAGGAAGCATATGGCCAATACTGGAAATAAAACTTCACATTTTATATGTAGTATTGTGGTATTTCATCCCCCCCACCAAAAAAAATACTTGTTTACCAGAGACATATCATACTTCATAATAGATCTCTAATCCCATTTTTTGTTCAACTTAAGCCATGATTCAAAAACTGAGTAATAAACAGGTTAAATATTAAATTTTAAGTATATCTGAAGACAGATTCCTAGTAATAATTCACTCTTACACTAGTGGATTAAAGCAGAGGCTAGAAAGGGTTTTTTACACCAGCACTTAAATTTGGTGCATGGACTATTGGGAAACCATGAATAATCATCAGAGAGGTTATGAACCAGATGCAAAAAAATAGCAAGAAAATAAAACCCCTTATTTCTTCAATTTCTTTCCTATTATTTTGAAAAACACATTTGGGAATTTTTTTATTTTTATATCTAATTAAATTATTAAGGCACTGTTTTATTTCAAAGTATAGAATATATTAGATATATAATTATCACTGCCATGTTATGTTTTAAACTCTTTCCTGTTGATAAAAGTTAAAGAAAAAGTACCCAGCCATTAAGAACATTTGTTATCCAATCAACTTAATGTGAATGTTAAAGTAAAACTGTAAATTTTTCAAAAGCTCGCTTATTTTTTTAATGCTCAATATAATTTTTTACTTATGGGTACTTGATGTTAAGGTGACAAGGAAATGCCATTTATCAATAAATTGTGTATATAAATTTATTTATATTTTCCTGAAGATGTCTGTGTCCACAACTTTCATTAGATTCTCAGAAGGATTGTGAAAATTTTAAAAAGCCTGCTGGTTTACATCATAACTAGCTCAAATATAAGACAATTCTACTGTTGAAAGGCTGTCAAAATGCCTTTCTTCTGAGGATTCGATTTTCCCGCTGAGAGAGCTCCTGTGCAAGGATACAGACAACTGCTTGAAAGCTGGATCTTTTTATTTTTCAGGAAGGCGAAAGATAGCAAGAAGTCTGCGTTCCTGGGCTAGCTACCTTTGTATGGTAAGTCCCTGATTTTTATACCTTTTTCTCATTTTGTGTGTGTGCTTGTGTTTGTATTTAAATCCTGTCAGGGGTGGTCTTCATTTCTGCCAGAGGGTAAACTCCGTGGGGTCCAGAAGGCAAACTTTGCGGGGTGGTTTGATTAGATTATCGGTTTCGTCCTAATCTTTTTTTGCTTAATTGTTTCTTATATTTGTTTTGTGGCAATCTCTTGTCTGTCTCCTTTGCAATATATTTTGTGTCTTTTGTCTGTTTGTATTGCTGATTTGGCATGTCTTGTGTTTGTAAGGGTTTTCTTTTCTTGTTTCCTTAGTTTTCTTAATTATTTGGCCTTTTGTCTAAGGAGTTTCTTTAATACTTTTTATTTGATTTGTTTTCCTATGCAAGTTTGTTTCATGGCTGGCTTGATGTTCCCTTTGGGCTTTTCCTGCTTGGGTGACATCACTGTCCTCGTGAAGTTTCCTTTCCACATTACCATTAAAAAAAAAGTAAGCTATGGATTTCTATATAAAATAGAGGTGAAGAAGACATCCTGATCTAGGATTGTTTTCAATAATCATCCACTATATTGGTAGCCATCTGGCAAAGATTTTTACAGACAGTTAACCATGTCCAGCAACCAGAATTACAATTCTTTTCAAGGGTTGTTTTTTTCAGTGTATGCCACTGAACAAAAGTCTATACCCATGAATAGATTAATTCTTCTTTCTTTTGACAGACATCGTTTGGAAACAATTCTCCTTTGTTTAAGCTAAAACATTGGGCTTCAACTAGCTAAAACCAAATGTCTATTAATATTTGAAAGATTTCCACTGATCCTTGATGGTATATACATTACCTCAATGTTCAATTTCTGTTAAAACATTTAAGTATCCTTCAGGTTACATTCAACTTTTGTAACTCTTTGGGCATGATTATGTTTTTAAATGTGTTTGCTCTTTTCAAGTTCAGTTTACAACTTCTTCATGATTTTCCATCTAAAGATACAAAGCTATAGCTAATAGACCTGGTTGTGAATAAAGAATCTCCGAGGAATGAACTAGTAAAGGAACAAGGTAATATACAACCAAATGAGCCATATTTTCAGCCAGGCAGGCTGCCTGAATCTTTAAATAAAGACTGAATAGAAGATATTACAATTTAACATTTCCAAAACCAACTGCTAGTATTTACAGTAGATACAATGCAATAGGTTTCATTTTCACATGTATCGCTATTCAAATGAATATTCATATATTAGACCATGCATGTACACCATTTATTTCAATTGAGTTTGAACTTTTTTATAAATTAACTTACATGAAACAGCATGGTTTATAAGCACTGCTTTCAACCATTACAAAATGCAGAGGTCATCATAACATATTATGATTAAAAATGGCCAGACATAGTATTTGTACAAATGCTTAACTGTAAATTAGCCTTGTGTAGCAAGAAACAGGAAGAACAACAGTAAAATATAAGGTAGAATTATTTTATGTTTAAATTTGGCCTTCTGGTGCTATTTCCAGAATCAAAGGCATACTCAACAATGAAATGTGGCTACAGTCTGACATGTTACAAACATTTTGTGAATAGTCTTATGTCAAACCAATAGAAAAGTTGAGTCTTCATCTCTAGGTTTTTTTAAATTTAACTTCTTAGCCTATTACACATACCATCCAAATAGTTGTATCAAGAGAACAAATGTCTTGGATGTCTTCTATCTTGATTCCTAAAACTAACCTAATTTCAGTAAAAAAAAAAAACCTGAATATTACTAACTAGACAATGTAAAAAGCATCTACTTTGGATGTTGAACAGTCAATTAGATCATGAAAAAATGTACTGAACACCAACCTAAAATTAGTGTTTGCAAAATCTTTGAGACTGAATTTAATAGAAAGTCTAAAATCAAAACATTTCTTCTGATCAAAAAATTACAGCAATTTTAGCCTATAGAATTCAAGAAGTGGTATTTTTCTCCCACTAGACATGAGAGTTTGGCTGCTTGATCAGACTACATCTCTTACCCACATGAGCCCAATAACATTTCCTAAGTTTTCAAGAATAAAATCTCAATAATAAAGAAGATAGCTTTAACTATTCTTGGACAGGAGAGAGCATTCCTCTGTCCACTCATTTCAAAGGAAAATAAAAAGTACTAAAATAGAAATACTTAAATATAAAGGAATTGTAAATGCCAATCTCATTGTTGTCCAAAGTATATTAGTGACAGTGAGAACGTTTTTTTAGGTTTAAAAAAATGGTTCTTAATGCAACTGAACCTGTGTTGGTCCACACAGGGTACTCATGGAGCAATGTAAAAACCTTCACCTTTGATCCAAACAAAGGTGAGAGATCAATGGTACATCCATGAAGCACAACAGCACCCTTTTGCTTGTGCTTCCTAACAAGTGGCATTCAAGGACCTATTCTTTCCAATATTAGAGGTAACATACTAAGATAACCTTATTTTCCAGCAAACAGGCTCAAACCTCAGATCAACAGGGCGCACCTTATCTACCCTCCAACGTTTTCTTAGCCCCAATGCTCATTTAGAAAAGAGCTTTCATGATATATGCACGAAGTACTTGAACACGGCGGAGGAGCAAACACAGTTTACATTCAGAGTTGCCTGATGATTATCATAATTACTGACCTAACTAGCGGAAAAGGGGCTCCCATTTCCGAGTTGGCAGAGAGCAGGAAATGAGAAACCCCTCCTTTTAGGGATGGTCGATGCCCCCCCTCCCCTTGAGGACTAGGGGAATTACTGGGTTCGGTTGAGCATGGCTTGCGCTTCTCTTCCTTCGGGGTAGTAAAATGATATACCGGGAAAAAAGCCTGGCCTTTCCCCCCCCCCCCTCAAAAAATATCCCAAGCAAGGCGTGGAAACCTACAGACAAAATCGGGGGGTCCCAATCCGGGCGGGCCAAGTACCCCCATATATCGGGGGCAAACGGAGGCCCTACCCCTCGGGGCTGAAAGAAGGGTAAGAGTGAAGGGGAAGCGAAGGGGGCTTTCTCCACGGGAAGAGAAGGGATGGAGAAGGAAAGCCTTTCGCCCTCTTTGCAGCAAGGGATTCCTTTGCAGCTACTCAGCTAGCAGAAGCCCGGGTGGCGGCGGGGAGAGAGAAGGGGAAAAAAGGAGGGGTGGGAAGCTGAGCCGGGCGCCCTCGCCCTCCTACCTGCGCGGCCAGCGTTGCCATTTCGGCTCCTTCTTCTCAAGGAGGCGGGGGTCCTAAGCCTCCGGGCCTGACCTCCACGGACACGGCCTCCCCCACTCCCGGCACGGCAGGGAGAACCGCGCCAGGGACCGCAGCGGCCATGGAGGAGCCGGAGCTGCTGCGGACAGCGGCGGAAAAAGACCGACCGCCGGAACCGCCACCACCGCCGCCGCCGCCTCCCGCGGCAATCCCAATTCACTCCCCGATTGATGGGCAGCGAACTCCGCCCTCTCCTCCACAGCCTTTGCTCCGACTTGGCCAATTAGGATCCGGGCCCCGGGCTCTCGGTTCCCTCCTACCTGGCCACATTCTCCAATAAGGATTCAGCTTTCGCCAAGGCACCGGATCCTGGTCCCGCCCTTTTAGATCCCTCCGTTCATAGAGCAAAGCGAAGGAAACGAAGCCACCCGCGGCGCCAGGCGCGGCGATTGAGGAAGGAAAACCTGAGAGGGGCGGGAATATTAACCCCACCTCTGCGACTTCCACCAATAGGACCTCGAGAAACAGCAACAGACAATTCTTCCCTCCTATCTTGGTTTCGTAAAGCAAATGGGGCGGGGGGATGTTATTAGCCCCCTTTGAGCTCAGGAATAATAAAGGGCGCGGGAACGTGGAGCGTCTGAGAGAGGATAAAAAGCCTAGGGTTTACCGGCTTTGAGGGGAAAAAAAGAGGGGAGGGGTGGGGTGGGGGTTAATTTTTGAAAAGTCGTACGGTATAGATTTCTAAATATAAGGGAGAGAGAGCATTCCGGAGACGGGACGTGGAAAAGGAGGAAAATACTCCCGTTTCCCGAGAGTTCAGCTGTGCCTGCAAGAATTTACGGGAATGACAAAGCGACCAGCCAATGAGATTTAATAACGGGCGCCTCGTCAGGAAATCAACGTCTAAAATTACAAGATTACCGCCCCCCCCCGCGCGCGGGCGCGCGCGCCCTTCTCTCTGCATCGAGTCTCTTACGTGCGGGCGTTCCTTGCAGGAGATAAAATAACAATATTCCGATTAATATCGAAATACGCCGATTGCAAACTCTTTAAGGAGGAAGGGGGCGGGGGAATACCTTCCTATATCATCAATGCACTAGGATACGCTTAATATTCCTGCAGTATATTGTAATACATCTGCACAAATGTTTTAGTGATGGCAAGAAGCAGCTTTCTGTATCTGCTGCCCCTTAATGGGCCTTGGTACAATAGATGGGGTATTCCGACGTGGCTTCCCTCCCCACCCCGCCTTCGCTGATCAGTATAATATATGCATTGTATATGATGTGGGACAGAAATGAGGACTTTGCACGTGAAGGATGTTCTCCAGCGTTGCTCTTTAGAAAGAGGTTGGCAGAGCTGGTGCCCGCTGCTGCCACCAGGTTGTCATGGACTAGAGACAGTTGCATTTAAAAAGTTCAGTGCTTTGGTGTCTAGCAAGGTGTGCAACTGGGGAACTGCAGGAATTTTTTTGTTCAAGGTACTAAAATGTATCTCTATATATAAATATTTATAGGTATTTTTGAAAGGCTGTCAAAATGCCTTTCTTCTGAGGATTCGATTTTCCCACTGGGAGAGCTCCGGTGCAAGGATACAGACAACTGCTTGAAAGCTGGATCTTTTTATTTTTCAGGAAGGCGAGAGATAGCAAGAAGTCTGCGTTCCTGGGCTAGTTACCTTTGTATGGTTAAGTCCCTGATTTTTATACCTTTTTTTCTCATTTTGTGTGTGTGTGTGCTTGTGTTTGTATTTCTTAATGTTTTAAATCCTGTCAGGGGTTGTCTTCATTTCCGCCAGAGGGTAAACTCCGCGGGGTGCAGAAGGCAAACTTTGCGGGATGGTTTGATTGGATTATCGGTTTCGTCCTAATCTTTTTTTTTTTTTTTGCTTAATGGTTTATTATATTTGTTTTGTGGCAATCTCCTGTCTGTCTCCTTTGTAATATATTTTGTGTCTTTTGTCTGTTTGTTTTGCTGATTTGGCATGTCTTGTGTTTGTAAGGGTTTTCTTTTCTTGTTTCCTTAGTTTTCTTAATTATTTGGGCTTTTGTCCAAGGGGCTTCTTTAATACCTTTTATTTGATTTCTTTTCCTATGCAAGTTTGTTTTATGGCTGGCTTGATGTTCCCTTTGGGCTTTTCCTGCTTGGGTGACACCACTGTCCTCGTGAAGTTCCCTTTCCACAATATCTATAAATTTCCACAAGAGTCTTCTCAATTGCCATACTAGTTTTATGTATTTTATCTCCAGAAGTCAATTACTAGTTTAGACACCAAGCTAACATTTTTTCTTTCCGAGTGCTTTTGAAATATTTTACTTACTTGATATATTAAAAAATGTATCAGCTTCTTAATGAATATACATCCCTCAAAAATTTGATTTTATGGTTTCTTTTTTTATTATGTTGTATTTCTTTTCATTACATTTGTAAGGCTCCAAGCATGCCTTAGTTGAGATTTTCTTATACTTTTTAATCTAGAAACTCTGTAAATTTAGTTGTGTAGCATGCAACATTTCCTGCTAATGCTAAGGATTGTGTATCCTTTATTAGCACACTTTGCCCAATATGCCACTGCACAGGCTCAACTACAGCAGTTTTATTCCCAACATACTCAATGTTCTGAGTAAACTGGTACGTACAATGTGTTGACACATACTTGGGTGCCACAATTTGATTTATTTGCAAATATTTGCCAACCAGATTACCACAGAGTGGTAATCCAAAACAAGTTCTCCAGTTTTCTGCTTTCCAGCTCAACTGGACTACAACCTTATCCTTCCCAGGCAACGCAACCAGTAGCTGTGTTGGCTGAGGATGGTGGAGTGATACTTAACCCATCTGGAGGTCACCAGATTGGGAAAATTGTAGAACAGCCCATTCCAAACTATCTGGCTACACTCTTTTTTTTTTTTTTTTGCCAAATGCAATAAAGTTACATGCTTCAGGTGGTGAGACATTGTTGGTTACCAGAACAGATTTTATCAGAACAGCTTTGGGCGGGATTATTACATAAGGCCCTAATGTAAATTTTGATGCTCACAAGCATTTCTGCAAGGTTGTGAGTATAGATGCATAGGGATGAAAACCTTGCCATGAGGGAAAAACTGGAGCCAAATGTTAGTATTTATTTACTTATTTTACGTATTTTTGAACCATGCATCTCAGAGAGGGAGGAATTCTCATTACTAATATATTGATTTCCACGTAAGGTATGGCAAGGTAACACATCTTTGAAGGAGAAATGCACTGCAGCCAAGACTGATGAACCTGGACCAATGGAATCTCTGCAGCCAAGGACAGTATGAGGGAACATCTGCTTGTACTTTATATATTTGTTCCTTGCAAGGAGAGACAAGGAAAGTCATTAAGTTCTCGGTTGCAACAGAACCTATATCAACACCAGGTTCATCAAACCTTGCTTTTCAAAACCTTAGAATTCTAGCAAAACCTCCAACCCATGGTATGACAAAATAGGATGACTTTTCTCCACATATAGGAATAACAGAAAAGGGGTCCAAATTAGGATTCCGAGTGCCTGCCTGTTAAGGGAGAGGTGTGAATGTATTTTTCAAATCCTGTAAAATATTGTTAAATTAAGTGAGCATTTTATTGATATACACAAGGTCCTCTGGCTGTTCTTAGAATATTTCAAGTATTTGAATCTGCAAATCCACATGCAGAACCTGTTTTTATCATTTTTTCTAAATGGACATATTTCGTTTTTCAACTGCCCTGTAGATGTCTTGTTAATTGCCCTATATTTTAAAAGAAATATATGTCTTTTATGAGAAGTACCATACTCAAGGATGTGTAAAGTTACCTTCTCATCTTCCCCCTTTTTGTAATTAATTTAAACTGTGTAAGGATAACCATGCCTTGTGCCTTCTGTAGATGAAAATTGTCAATTGCATTTCAAAGAATGTCATCTTTTCAAAATACGAAGGACCTACATTATATCCCCTTTTCCTTATTTTGTAATTATATCAGTTATACTCTTTGGAGTGTTGGGATTTTTTTTTTTTTCTAGAAATGCACACACTTGAGTTGTTTTTAGACCAGTTTTCACAGGAAAAATCTATGTAAGACAGATTTTTATTATTGGCTCATCTGAGCTTCACGGTAACTTATTAGTTTTGGAAAATAAACAGAACATTTGGATTTTGTCATCTCATTTGGATCTTTGTGACATTTTAGAGTAGTTCCACCACATTTATTAGGTTTACAAAGTTAAAAAAATATTTACTTAAAATTTTTATTTATTTTATTACAACATACATAATTTTCCAAACAGTATTTCCAAATATACTTTTGGATGCAGGTATGTGTACCCATTTCCTATCTGAGAACTGCACCTCAAAAATCATCATCAGAATTGGAAGGGACCTTGGAGGTCTTCTAGTCCAATCCCCACCCGATACCGTTTCAAACAAATGAATATCCAGTTTCTTATTAAAAGCCTCCAGTGATGGAAGCACCCACAATCCAAGAAGGCAAGTTGTTCCACTGATTGATTGTTTTCACTGTCAGGAAGATGTTTGTATGCTGCTTTTTTAATGGCAATTAAATTGTACATACACTGCTCAAAAAAATAAAGGGAACAACACAATAACTCCAAGTCAATCACACTTCTGTGAAATCAAACTGTCCACTTAGGTAGCAACACTGATTGACAATCAATTTCACATGCTGTTGTGCAAATGGAATAGAGAAGAGGTGGAAAGCATAGGCAGTTAGCAAGACATCCCCAATAAAGGAGTGGTTCTGCAGGTGGCGACCACAGACCACTTCTCAGTTCCTATGCTTTCTGGCTGATGCTTTGGTCACTTTTGGATGCTGGTGGTGCTTTCACTCTAGTGGTAGCATGAGATGGAGTCTACAACCCACACAAGTGGCTCAGGAAGTGCAGCTCATCCAGGATGGCACATCAATGCGAGCTGTGGCAGGGTGGTTTGCTGTGTCTGTCAGCGTAGTGTCGAGAGCATGGAGGCGCTACCAGGAGACAGGCCATCAGGAGATGTGGAGGAGGCCGTAGGAGGGCAACAACCCAGCATCATGACCGCTACCTCCGCCTTTGTGCAAGGAGGGACAGGGAGAGCACTGCCAGAGCCCTGCAAAATGACCTCCAGCGGGCCACAAATGTGCATGTGGCTGCTCAAACGGTCAGAAACAGACTCCATGAGGATAGTATGAGGGCCCGACATCCACAGGTGGGGGTTGTGCTTACAGCCCAACACC